GGGAACTGAAGAGGCTGTTGGGAGCTGAGAAAGGCTGTTGTGAGTTGATAGAGCTGTAAGGAGAGTTGGTTCCTTTGCGGGAGCTTGTCATGCTGGCTTTCCTGATGAACTTGGCTGTTTTCATCCTCCCAGGAGCTCAGGACCTTGTTGGCGCCGAGAATAGGTTCGGTTCACTTTGGGAGAGCTCCGTTCCTCGCGCTGAGCATCACTTCCTGGCTCCGGAAGGGAAGAAGGTGCACAGCTCAGTCTCCTGAAGAAGCTTGTCATGTTGGCTTTCCTGATGGGAACTCAGCTTTCCTGATCATCAGAGGAGCTCGCGACCTCACTGTTGCTGAGGATGGCTGTGGTACATTTCAGGGGAGCTGTGGTTCTTACTTTGTGTGTCGCTTCCTGGCTTCAATGCAGATCCCTCAGCCTGCTAGCACAGACCCTTCATCCTGCTGGCACAGACTTCCAAGATTCCACCACTGACCTTTGGGCCTTCGCAGCGCAGATTCATGAAACAGGCCTGCATGAGATGTTGTCATGGGCTCTGGACCTCCAGCTGGCCTCGTGGGAGGCACTGTTATGGGCTCCAGGTCTTCAGCTGGACTCATGCAGGACATTTCCGTGGGATCCAGGCCCTCAGCTAGATTCCTTGGTCCTTAGTGAGTGGACATATTTCCTGCACTCTCTGTATATCGTTCTTTGTATGACTATTATAAATAATCTTATAAAATACGTGTCCTGTATTATATATTGCTTCCCCTTGCAAAATAACCCGAAACCACAACACCAACCGTTAAGCTCCACGGAAGACTGGTTAGACATGACCACTGGGGCAATAACTAAGGCATAGATCTTTAGAGTACAGTGACATTTTGTTTAAAGTATTCCATTCTAAAATGTTTATGTTTTAAAACTTGACTTGATTTTTTTTGTGGAACAGCCCACGGACTAATACTTGACAACACTTAATAAAGAAAACTGCCCAGAGGAATTTCTTGATGACATAAATGTTCTATGATTCCCACTGATCTATATGGTAGCTATTCTGAAAGAGTTTGTAAATAGGTTTCTATATTACAATAGTAAGGGAGGTAGTTTTCCTATAGATAGGTCAAAGTGTGGAAACAAAAGATGAATGCCAATTCTCTCATATTTCCACATGGAGTGATGGGCTCTGTTTCCCTGCTCTGTTTTTGTTTCTGTAATTGTTTTTTTCTCCTGAGAAAATATTAACTTTAAGTTTCACCCATTTATCCAAAACAAGGATTCCCTACTACAGTGACAGAAATCTAAATATGTGGAAATAAACTTACATTTCCTGTTTGAGGGAACTGTTAGGAATAGAGAGGAAAGAGCAAGGAAACACATGAACACAGTCACAGTAATTCTTGTATCTCTTCATCGGTCTCTAAAGTAACTTAGGCTTTTTTGAAGTCTTTTGTTGTAAGAGGTATTCACATTTGTCCTCAGTCACGTTATCCTGTGTAATCACCCTTGTGTAGCATTATTTGAGGGTTAAGGAGCTCTGGGTAAGTTTGCCTGCCAGTGGATATATCACATTGTTCTAGAAGCCTGAAAACTGAACTTTTGTACCATTCTACTGAGATGCAACATAAATATGACCAAATTAAAAGTGCTTGATCAGGATATTATAAAAAGTATACCCAGGAGATTATATATTTATTATGTGCTTTCCTGTCTCTTAGCAAATGCTCAATATTTAATTCACTGGCTACACTCTCTCCAGTATAGCACACCAACTGAGGAAAGGAGCATTATCTACTTTTCAAAAATTTCCTTAGTGACCTCACAGCTTGTGGTGCCATATCCCAGTAATCTGGGCATTTTGTCTAGCAGTGAGCCACAGGTATATAAGAAGGGAACAGTGTGATGCTTCTCATTCCCCTCAAGCCCATCCTGACTCAGAGCCACCTTCCTAGTGAGGACTTTCCTAGATACATATTTACAATCTGGCTTTATCTCTCTGCTCCAACTCCATATTCCCTGTCCTCGACTCGTCAGCTCTGACCACCAACAGGCCGCTAGTGGTCTCACTACTCAGTGTGTTGTCCACACCTTAAGTAGGATCCCTCCTAGACGAAAGGGATCTGGATGTTTTGCTCATCGCTGTGCTTGGCCAGACAGAGGACAATAACAGCAAAGACTGTTAGTACTCAGTGTTTACTGAACAGATAAATGAGTAAAACCAAAATAGTTCTAAAGAGTGTTGCAAAGTCTCAGGGAACAATAAATGAAATATCCTTTTTCAGCATGCTCTGTAGTCATTCCGAAAGCCAAACGCTGTTGTTTCTCCCATGCTAACACAAAGAGAAATTGGTAACAAATTGGAACTTCACTGGATAGGTTTTATTCTTTAAAATGAAATATTCTCAGTATCGTGAAGTGAGAAATATAGAAATATACAGCCATTTAGAAATATACAGCCATTGCATATGAACTCTTCATTTTACAGAAGATACAACTGAGGTCAACAATAATGACACTTCAGTTTTAGTTTAATTAGCACAGACTAAATACCTTATCAGTGGAAAACTACACAGGCACAAATAAAACGTGGACAGGTTTTCCTGATTCTTCAATTAGTATTCCTTCCATAAAATGAGCTGCTACTTCCCTTTAAAAAATGAACAGTATTCTGCGAAATAGGAGAAAGAGGAATAACCACGTGGAGGAAATTATGTGGAAAAAAATAAAAACCAAAAATAAAGTGGAAAACAAGTTTCTCATACTCATTAAAGATAAGCCCACCTAACAAATACTTCAGAACTAAAAAGTTCAACAGCCATAGCAAACAAAATTGCTTTATTTTTTAAAAAGAAAACAAAAACAAGTGAAAATATTTGCGACTTAAAAGACAGGAAATGTTGACTTTAGCTTTTTGACTATCTTTAGTATCCAGGTCAGAATTTTCATGACATATTACGAGTCTGATTAATTTAGCCAGAGCATGGACATAAGGAGACGAGCAGGAATTAAAACATGAGAATGTACAACTCTGGAGTCAGGATCTAGGATCGTAAGTGTGTTTAAATTTGATTCTTTAGGCCAGGACGTAGCCCAGAAGCACATCACCTGCCTGGGAAATGCAAGGCCATGAGTTTAACTCTCAGTGTCAGAAACAACGATGATGACGACGACGACAAAATGAAAACCAGCAAATACATTTGATGTTTTAAGCCACCTAAACCTCTGTGAAGATGCAGGATGATCCACATTCAAAATCACTTACTTTCACTTGGCTGAATGCTATAATATACCTTGACAAAGTATTTTCAAGTATGTGGTGGCTCAGAAAGTGTACGAATTCAGAGAATGTTGAGACCTTACACTTCACGATACTGAGAATATTTCATTTTAAAGAATAAAACCTATTCAGTGAAGTTACAATTTCAGAGATTTTGTAATGAATTCTACGTATTGCTTCCTGGATCTACAATTCTATTAATGGATGAATATCTCTTCTGAATCATAAGTCAAGAAGAAAAGACACTATCTTCCTGACGACATTTATGTCAGAATCAATAAACTAATGATCCTGTTAGGGTGGCATGTGTCGGCTATTTTATGCACAGCAACTAAACTTCTGGGGAAAATACCAAAAGAATCAAAATGCACAGAAATAGTAAGATAAAGTTTTATGATTTTCATTTTCAACAAATTGGCAGGGATATGAAAAAGAACACAGTTTTGATTTTTATAATGCAACAGGTGCGGAAGTGGAGAGAATCAAACTTACAATTGTGCATATATATCACTCAAAGCAAATTATAAGGATTGCTATTTAATGTGGTAAACATATGTAATAAAATAAATGACCTATGAAGCATATTATATTGACCAGAGTGCCATATAAAAAGTAAAAGAACTCATCTAATTTAAGGATATTAAGATATTATTGGGTTTATATAAAGTCAACCCTTTGTCCAGTTGAAAAACATAATTTCTGGTATGAAGATGATGTTTACACAAACCAGTTAGATTGAATTTGCTTCAAAAGGCTAAAAACACAGAGGCCAAACCCATTACTTAAAATAATGTAGTTTGCTCAAGTTCACAGTATCCTTAGGGAGAGTTCTTTAAAAGCAATGGTTCAGTGGAATACTAGAAATACATGTTATTCCATCCAAGAATGAATTCTATGCCTCTGTCCTCATACCACTCCACTGTACAAGCTTCTAAGCTCAAAATGAGTTTAAAGTGTCTGGTGAGAGTCGCTTTGAATCTGTCGTGAAAACTTTGACACACAAAAATTTTCATATAATCTTGTTGTAAGATACACAAGGATTCTATGATGCTGATGTATCTCAAGATATTTGAACACTTCTTTTAGAATACATGTGAAGTATATTGGGCTATACTCACAATTCATTTCAGCCAAGAAGTTCTATCAAGTTTAAGAACTTATTACTCAGTCATTTAAAACATCAGCTCTTTCCAAAATGTTTAAATCTACACACACAAAAACAAGAATTTGCTGCAATGAGATTATTCAAATGAACATAAACTTTAAGCCATGAAACTAATTCTAACTTGTTTGAAATAATAGTAAAAGCATTGAAACATAACATATAGTCTCCTATGATAGTTTATGGGAGAATATTTATTTATTTAAAAAAGGAAAAAGTAAAACCCTATTTATCTCTTATAGTCATTCCCTTTATAAGTTTATCCTTTCATTAAGGATTTTAGATGTAAAAACCATCAAAGGACTTTTACTTTTTTTCCATTTCACTTTGTTTCATTCATCCAAATTACTTCCATTTCTGGCCTGTTAAAATAAAATTTAATATTTTAAAGTCTAGATACTACAAATTTAAAGCAAGTATTGTTTGACAAGGCTGTAAATGATACCTGTAGACCTGATTAAAGAGGGAAAGACTGGTTTTTGAAAATGATTGATAGGAAAAGCATTTTAATTTGGGAGAAATCACATAGTCATTTATAGAATTTTAAGTCCTCTCACATATGCACAAGAAATAAACCACATGCTCTGTTGAACTTTCAAAATGTATTTTAATTTCATTCCCAACAAATAAAATTTCTAGATACAAATACATCCCATTCAAATCACTTTTTAACATACATTCAGCAACTTATAATATAAGGATCCAATATTTTCATCTTTTATAGCCTCAATATATTATATATTTAATATATAATATATGTACAATACATACAGGTAGTCAGCAGGATTACAAAGTAATTTTTAAAAAGTCTGCTCAGTATTGATAAATATTTTTAGACTATTAAAAGGAACTATGTAGGATCACTGAACAAAATAAAATATGGCAGGCAGGCCCAAACCCAATAGCAAGATTGCAAATGTTCATACACATAATCATTTTAGAACTCTCAAGTTGGTAGAATACAATTTAAAACAATACTCTTGCTACTCTCAAGCAGCAGTACTGGTAGACAACAAGCATGAACATCACCGTTAAATTTAAAGTAACTACGTAGTTTACCTTACTGTAATATACAGCAGCTATCTCTTCCTTTCTGTTGGAGTTTGTTGTTGTCTGAAGAGCGACACATCAACAGAAGTGACTTAAGTTCATTTCCTTCCCCTAAGCTTGGCTCAGTTTGAAGACTGTTCTACAGGTAGCCACCATGACTACTAAGAGTACCTTAATACCATTAAGAGCAATCAATAACTGGAGTCATATGAGAAGTTTCAAAACCTGCCGAGGTTTCCGTAAACCAAGGTAATCACACGTATTACCTCTGCAGATAGCCTCTCACGCTGGTTAATACAATGAGTTAAAATCTCAATGCCACAGTGTAACAGTGAACAATCTATCCTGTGATTTTAAATATTACAACATTATTTCACCCTGAGAATACAGAGGAAGCATTTAAAATAAGATACTCTGATATGGTTTTTTACTCTTTGTATTTGCTTTCTTCTGGTTTTTAATCAGCCTTTTAAGGGTCCGAATATCTGAATTCAAAGTGTGATGTGGATATCCTTCTGGTTTTTTGTTAACTGAGATTCATGCCACAGTCAGATACTGGTGATAAAAAAGCCCAAAAAGGCTTGTAGAAAAAAGGCAAGCAGCAATCCACCACGTCAAAAACGACAGGAGTCCTCGAAAGAGGAGAGGAGTGAAAATGTTTTTTAAGCTGCTCAGTGCCACTGTTATTTGCGTAACAGTTACTTTCATCTTCCCGTCAGTGGAGGGTAGTTCGGAGTAAACAGAGTTGGAGTGCAGACTATTATCCACTGGCAAGGAAGATTCAGGATAGATCCCCCAGGAATGATTACCTAGAAATTCAACACATAAAACTTGAAGAGTAACTAATTCCAAAGCATCTTACAAAAAAAAATAAAAGATGAAATAAAAATATGCTTACTTTGACCAGACTATATAATCTGTCCTCCTTAAGAAAGGTACACTCAAAAGCAAAATCCCTGGTATACTTTTTTCCCTGATATACTTTTTTTTTTTTTGGTTTTTTTTTTTGGTTTTTCTTTGGTACCAGGAACCGAACTCACGACCTTGCGCTTGCCAGGCAGGCGCTTTGCCTCTGAGCTAAATCCCCAGCCCCTTCCCTGATATACTTTTAATTAACTTCAGTAAAACCTAGTAATATAATGAAAACAATTTTTTCCTTGTATAAGACATGAATCAACTATGTCTACTGAAGTAAAAGGGACATACTTAATGACTTCTCAGAAATCTTTTACTCAGAATAAACTTCTTTCTCAGAAACTAGGATTTCAGTGTGAGCAACTTAATAGCTACCAGAAATTCTTTCATTGTATACTTTCCTACGCTGCATAGGATATGAATCACATAACGTATAGTACTAAGGCATTACCTACCCCTTTGCGATAGTTTCTATGCGATCAAGGTTTGTTCATAAAGCCTCCGCCTACACCAATGTCTTTAGGAGTTCTACCTATTCTATCTTCAGCAGATTTAATGTTTCTGTTTTATTACTTAGACCTCTGATCCATTTCGATTTTAGTTTAGTGCATGGTGAAAGATACAGGTCAACTTTAATCTTCAGCATGCGGGAAGCCAGTTTTTCCAGCACCATTTATTACAGAGGCTATCTTTCTTCCAGTGAACGTGTTTGGCACGCTTGTCAAAGATTAGGTGGCTGGAGTGTCTGGAGTTGTTTTTGCATCTTCTGATCTGTTCCACTGACCCTCAGGTGCTGCCGGCTCCGAAGGGGCATTTGCACCTATCACCAGCCTTCCCTTGGGATTCTCAAACACCCACAATGGCAGGTTGCCTGATCTAAGCAAAGGGAAATGGTCAATGCAAAAATGATAACTCTCCAATAGTACCACAAAGGGACTTGGTAGCTTAGTGAAGAGACTTTTAGGAGAACTCTGTTCTTTCACTGAGGAATCTTCAACCTTTCAAAATAAGTCATCTAAAACTGAACTCATCAGCGTTTTCTTTTTTTTTTGGTTTTTTTCTCCGGTACCGGGAACCGAACTCACGACCTTGCACTTGCCAGGCGGGCGCCTTTGCCGCTGAGCTAAATCCCCAGCCCCTTCATCAGCGCTTTCAATGGTAACAAACAGCTGGGTGCGGTACACATCCCATAGGTACACCACCACTGCACTAGAGAACCTGCACTTTATGCAAATTTTTGAGTGCCTTATAATAATTTAAATATAATGCACACATAAAAACCTCCAATCATCCCCTTTAGTACAGAATTCTGTAAGTAAAGCATGAAGTTATAAAAGCATATGGACCTGAGTTTTCAAAATCAAAAATGATGAATGAATTTCTATAGCTAAAACTTTTCAGTACTTCCTCTTAAAATGTTTGAAGAGAAACAAGTTTAGGAGTCACATTCTTTCCAAATAACAGAAAACATTACTAAGGAGTAAATAATACACATTAAACATTAACATGAAATCTTCATTCTATATGAACATATTTGGAGTTGAATTATAGAGGAAATGAAAATACGTGAAAAGACAGAAAAAAAAGTTAACTTCTAAAATGCCTTGGACTATGGAAGAGAATCAAAAATGGAATTCAATACCAGTATTTTAAAAAGATATGATCAAAAGTATGTGTAGGTCAAAAGCAAAAGATGTATCTCAGTCACTGGGGTAGGATTACTGTCATGGTTTGTATCTGAATGTTACCCCAAAGCCTCGTGTGCTCACAGGCAGGGCTTCTGAAAAGTATCTGAATCACAGGGCACTACGGCTGAATGTGCTGCTAGTGGGTGAGGTGGGGTCGGACGAGGAGGGCGGCCAGGGCCGCGACCTGGTAGGGCACATCTCCTCCTGTCTCTGCTTCCTCGCTGCCACCACGTGAGCAACTCTTGTCTGCCATGGCTTAGAGGCAGCGGACTGTGGACTATAAATGTGAGCTAGAACCAACCTCTCTTCAAGTTGCAGGGCTGGGCCTTTTGTCCTAGGGATGAGAAAGTAATTACGATATAGGGCAATGCTTACCTAGGGTTTTCAGAAGCAGAGTTGTATGAAGCAGCATTACCAGAGGTGCCACATACTGCAGGGCAATGACACAAAGGTAATAAAAGACTCGAGCCACCTGAAACCAACAACATTCTCAGACAGTTACCACGGCTGATGTGCTATGCGTGAACTCAGCTTATATAACTGTCAAACTGAAATGTGCCAGAGACAAGTGATCTTTCCTGGGAAGAAAGCTAAATATTAAGTTAGCACTTCACTATAAATGTCCCCAACTGACTTCAGAAAGTCACAATCTGAAGATTAAGTTGTTAGAATGTGGAAATATTATAATAAATTCCTTTCAAAGTTATTAAGTGATATATTTAGATTGGAAAAAATAACTTCAAAATTCAAATGCTATCCTTTTATTTCTATTTCAAAAGTAAAACAAAATACTAAAATATGTAACAAAACATCAAACTAAAACAGCAGGCTGTCATACATGAGCATAAATCCAGTATAAATAAAAACATTAAATTCTCACCGGGTGTGATGGCGCACACCTATAATCTCAGCACTCGGGAGGCTGAGGCAGGAGGATTGCTGTGAGTTCGAGGCCAGCCTGGGCTACAAAGTGAGCTCAAGTCCAGCCTGAACTGCAGAGCGTGACCCTGTCTCAAAAAGACCCCTCCAAAAAAACAGACAAAATTCTCATTCTACATGAACACATTTGAAGTCAAATGATGGAGAACATAAAGATATATGAAAGGTAAAGCAGAAAAGAAGTAGTTAACTTAAATGACTCTGACCATGGAAGACAATCAAAAACAAGATTCAGTACCAATCTTGGAAAAAGATAGGATCAGGATATAGGTACACTACAATGGTGAATGAATTCCTACAGTCTTCTTTCCCCAGAATTCCATTAAGTTAAATACTTTACATTTCACATTTAAGGACATGGAGTAGTGTTAAAAAGAATAGTTTTAGCCACTAAAACTAGTATTTCCTACTTTTTAAATCATAAACTCTGCTCTACAACTAATGTCTTTCAAATAAATTAGAGGGGTCCCACTTAGTGAAAATAAGCACACACAGCTTTGTACCACCCAGCTGTACAACACTTAAAATACTTAAGGCAGGAAGAGGAAGTGACACCCTTTTTCTTAGCACCAAAATCTGATAAGGTCTCTTTGACACATGTCAGCCTGCGACTGTCCCACTTACTTGCAATAAGAATATTATGGGATATAGTACTATGCATTAAAGGAAATCAAATTCTTAACAACAGTTTTTGTAATTTCTCATTTTAACTAGAGGATGATACTCACCATTTTCTGTAGCTCAACTGTACTTATTCGGCCCGCTTCTTTCTTCATCTGATCCACACATTTCTGGGCCAAGTTTAAATATGCTTGCAGATGACTACGCATCATGGCCAGCCGCAAGGCACACAGCAGGATTATTAACCACAGTCGCAGAGTATCAAATGTAGCTTCTGTCATTCTACAGATCAAAAAGTTGATATGGTGCTCTCAAAGACCACAAAGTGCTGGCAGCTGGTTATATGCTATTATTTACCACACAAGATACTGAAAACCTACACTCAGCTAGAGCAAACAGAAGACCTAAAACAAAGAATGCCATTTTGCCACAGATGTATTTATATAATATTTTCACTTGCATAAGAGAACTAGTCAGATAAATGTATCATTAAAGTACGAGATACCCACAAGAAAAAAGTAGAGCAATACTTGGGATCTTTTCTTTTAGCTAAACTTGTCTATGGAAGAAAACCTGGCTGACATCAAAAGAGAAGTTGGACGCTCTTAAACTACAGAGTACAGGAAAGAAAAAAGGGAATGCCTGCAGAACTCCTTTATAGTGACTCCTTTATAATCAGCTATACTTTGAACTCATTAGATATTTGGTTGGGGTCTATTGCTTTGCTGTGTTTCCAATTATGATGCCTCAGATTTCTAACACGTGACTTAAACTGCTAAGTGCTGAAGCTGGCTTCCTTCTAAGCAATAAGTCAAGGCTAAATTTAGGACTCCAGTGACAAGATGTGGCCTAAGGTCATCTTCTCAGCAATCAGACCATGAGAGAGGGCTGCTTACCGTATTTTAGAATGAACACATAATTTTTGGTGTCCTTTGGGGTTTGATGGTTTCATACTATGTTTTGATTAACTTAAAAGTAGTAACTAAATCATTCTTGGTATCTAGTCTTATCTCTAACATGCACCAAGTACTTAATATGACTGCTAAAATGCAGGGTCTGCGTGACCTGCCAGATAGGATCCAGAAGTTAGAAAAGTCTCCCTAAAATTCCTATGAACATTAGGGTAGAGTAGATGGGCACAAAGAAGCACAAATGGGAAATGCCTGAAAAAACAAAACCTCCAACAGTTCTCCTCTGAATGGGATCAATCTTCAGCCGGCCTCTGTCCTGCTGAAGCAAGGAACTAAGTGCCCTTAGGGGGAAAGCTGGTGAGAGAAACGATGATGCTGACTAGGGCCCGAAACAGAAAAGGCAGAGAAGACATAAAAACATATGACTTTGCTGGAACTGCTTGTGAAATGCAGGTCAGAAATGAAGACGGGCAAAGGGTTCATAATGTATTACTTTCGTTCACTTTTATTAGGGTTCTGAGTGCAAACAGCCATAAAATCCCAATGGAAAAGCACTGTTGGCCAGGAAGGATAAAGGCAGGTGTTTTATCAGTGCATTTCATTACGATGAACACGGGATGAAGGAACAGTCACGTGACAAACAGCACAGACCCCAGGCCACCTACAGCCCTGACACTTTTGGGGGATCCATACAAATACTACGTTCCCTGAAGTTCTGTAACAAGGAGAACTGACTGGCAGCATCCTAAAGACAGCTATCTCACAGCCTTCCAGGATAAGTGGAAGCAAAAACAGCACTAGAATAAAGGAGTGAATCAGAAAATTGCTCAGCAGTTTCTATTTCAGGAATTGGAGTAACAGTCATTAAAAAGGATCTTCTCATACAGGTTAATGTAACACCATAAATAATTGCTAAATTGATCTCATGGGGTATCTCACGAAACCTGACCTGGAGTACAACACATAGGTAGAGGGCAGGCAATAGAAATTTCCCTGAGAGATCGGTGTCATTTTGGGCTGTACCGTGCAGACCTCCTCTGGTTTTCTTCTTATGCAGTTCTAAGCACACTTGGACTCTTTATCCACAGTTTATTTTTTTGATGCTCTATCAGAAACATGGATGGGTTAAAATACATTTCCATGTTGAAAAAGTGCTGCAACTAACTACAAAGAGACTTTTCCATAAACCACTCTGCCTATGTGACAGAAAGAATCTGTCACTTGCATTTTCTTCTGTCTTATTCTCTTTGATTGACAGGCAGTCATTTTTTCATAATTTACCACAGGATTTTGAACAAAAATTAAAAACCACTTCTAATGACTTCTTAGTTCACGAAGAATAGGCCAGAGCAGGGTTGAGATTATAACTCTGTTTGAGCTGTCTGTGAAACAGGTCACAAATGGGGATACGGAAGAGGGGGATATAAGAAGACCCAGATCTTCCTGCATAAACCAAGTGGGAAGTGAGTACTGCTATAGCCACTAAGTGTTTTCAATATACTGAATCTGGCTAAATAACCTAGAAAAAGTTCTAAACTTCTGTGTCTATCATTTCATATATTAAATGGAATGAGAACAATGACTCAAATAATTACTATACAAATGAATGAGATAAAATGTGAAGTATCAAAACCTGGCATAATAACTGGTGTATGAAAACTGCCCCATAAATACTAGTTTCCTTGTCTTCCCAGTTTTACTAAAACAAATATAAAATCAGAGCACATATTCATACAAGACTAGAAAACCCAATATCTATGACCAAACTTGGGAGTCTGGAAATATTTTCAGCCTCAAATACATGAACCACTACTAGATTTTGTCTAGAACCTTACAATCCTTAGAACTACTTTTAAACATTTCAGGAACCTGTCAGGTAAAAAACTACTATTAAAAGTTAGATGTATGGGGAAAAAACATTATTTCTTCAGTGAACATTTCCCTAATTCAACATGATTAACTCTTAAAAACTGTCATCAATGATTATATATTCCTAAACAAACACGTAGCAGGAACTAAAAGAAGTACTATAAAATGCACACCATAGAATCAATCAATTATTATTCACAAATTTCTGTTTTAATTTTGCTGAGGCATAGGAGTAGAAGTCTTCCGGAGAGTGGAACTACATATGTTCTTTCGTTTAGTTCCGACAGTGACCCTGTGAGGCAGATACCAGTATCTTCATTTTCCACACAGCGGAACAGAGGCTCAGACAAGTTAAGTAATCTGCCTCAAGTGACAGTTTATTGAGAAGCAAACCTGGAGTATGACACAACTCTGGCCGAACCTTTCTATTACCCTAACACAGTTCCACATCTAAGAGATCAAGCAAGTTATTAACTGCTCTGTAAACCTGCTTCTACATTTCCTTGCCATCTTGTTCTGTTAAAATACAGTGGCCTCCCTGGAAAAATATAAATTAATATTAGATAATGTTAAGACATGATTTTTAATTTACTTAGTTATGATGATAATAATGTTATTGATGGAAAATGACCTTATAAGATGCAAATTATAGTACTTAGGGATAAAAATGTTATCAGTCTGATTTACTTGAAAAATACTTTATGAAAAAGGAAATCAAACAAAAAGTGGATAAAGTAAACATGGAAATTGTTAGCATCTGTGTGCATATGGAACTTAGTATAAGCATTTCCACTCATACTCTTCCCCTTCTTTAAGTTTCACGAAGAAAAACAACAGAACTGTGAAAGACATCCAAACAACAGGCACAGCGACAACAGGCAAATGTCAGGACAACTGTGTACTAAGAGAAAGGACTCACACAAGCTAGTATGCGGCAATAACCCTGAATGTCTACTAAGGAACATCACAAAAAGGTTAAACAGGTTGTAGTTCAACTTCATAACATGCCTCTCAGCACTGGTACTAATGGTTGAAAAACATAATGTCCTAATTTTATCATCATGGTTTTCAAATAGTTTAAAAAAACCTTTAGGAAAGCAGTTCTGATATTCAATAAAACACAAATTAGCCCTCAAATATCCATACTTACAAAGGAACACTTTCTTTACCCAATGGAGGGTTCATAATGTAGTCTTTGGTGATTGGTTTTACCCAGAGCAGAACCATAAATAAAGGTGCCAAGAAGTTGATGTGAAGTAGTGTTCTGAAAGTGTGCAAGAAATATACATAAAAATCCAGAAACAAAATGCTCTAAGAAGCTATAGAAACTTGGGTATTACATTTATCTTTACTGTTTACCACTAATATGAGTCTTCGAGAAACTATGTTATCATTTTACTTTTTCAGATAAGAACTTTGAGGCCCAAGAAAGTAAAGTTACTTGCTCATGGCAATTCAGTAGCTTAAAGGCAAATAGATTAAAATCCAGATTTGTTCATTTCTATTTTAGTATGCATTCTTTAAGAATCCCTTAATAAATCTCTGATTCATTAAATAGGTAGTTTAATGGTTCTCTAGTCTTATACAGTCAATGAATCCAACAGATAAAGCGGAGTCATCTGATCCTTTTCAGTGCTGCTGAAACAATGCCTGCTCATGACTGTAAGTGCATTAGTGATTAACCGGTTTATAACAGTAGAAAGTAAAAGGCAGATGGAACTCATGGATAAATTTCCTCTTGGCAAAGCAATAATCAATATACAAGAACTGATAACAGAAAACAGTGTGTTTAAAAAATTATCACAGTAAAAGACATACTGTCATGATCTCCCCTAAAATACCCCCTTGCTTTGCACTCTTATCCTATCATTCTTGCCGCTTCCTGAAGTAGTTCTGTCCCTTCTGTGTCTCTATGAGATGTGATAAAAAATATAGTGACTGCTGCTGCCCAGTGCCTTCCAATGGAAAGGCAGGCTCATAAACACATCACGGTGTGTCCTCGTCCATCTTTTTTACTGGGTCTGGCACCATGTGACTTCCGGCTCTTCCCTGAAATGACCATGAAAAGCCAATGTGTTGAATGTATGTGGGACACAGAGGCAGGCCCGTGAATGCAAGTAAAGATATTCATGGAAGAGGACTCCCAGGACTGTGCCAGACAGGGGCAGGAATGATGAGCTAAGCGTGTTTGAAGGTGGGTGGAGGACTTAGAGGGGGTCAACAACAATTTGTCTTTCAATGTAACACTTTTTAAAAATGGTTTCAAATATTCACTCTACTTTCTGGTCACACCTCGTGGTGAAGGATTTCAGGCCTGAGTTATAACTTTACTGTTAATTGCTAAGTTTGTATCCTACAAAACAAATTGCTAGTAAATTTTCTTATCTTAGGAAAACAAAAATTCTTCAGATTATTTGATTAAAGTAGTCCTTTTGTTATAAATCAAACAGAAAGGCGAAACTGTAGGTGTACAACATATACATAAACACACGCATTTTAAAATCTCACTCTGTAGGAAATGACAGTGCAGTGTGCGGGGAAAGAGGGCTGGGTGAAGAAGCCGTGAACACCTGCATGGACAGGTGGAACTCTGGTTCCAAGCCTGGTCTTAACACCGAGTGAAGTCAGTGCCGCTGCTTGTGCCAGGCACGCGACTCTCACCGGGACTAGCTTGCCCACACCCTGGGGTCAGGGCAGAGCGCTGTAACAGTGCAAAACTGCAATAAACTGAAAATAAAATAAAACCCAAGTCCCCACAGGGAAAAAGCTTACACAGAAGCCACATTTTTCTGAAAAGGACACTAAAATCTGCAACACTTCTTCCCAAACACCACTAAAGGCTTTGACTGTTTTTGTACAGTGAGTCTTTCATCCTACAGCTTTGGTAAACAACCCACGGGTGTGTGGTGGGGGAGCAGCAGTATTAGGTATGCGGTGTTGCTAGGGAACACTCGGTATCAAGGCACAGCTCTTTCAGTAGCCTGTGAAGGGCGCCCCTCCACCCACCCTTTTCAGCTTATTTAAATCATAACACTGGGGTTAGTGGACTGAAGTGTGCATGTAGACAGGAGGGGAGAAGCAAGTTTTATCTTAAAAGAAGCCATTAGAGATGGGTGGAGGGGGAAAGGCAGGAAGCAGCCAGGAGCATGCTGTGTTAAAAGAAAAAAAAAAGGGAGGAAGGAGCGTGCACGGGAGGTGCGAGTAAGTGATGGAGAAAAATGGAGGGCAGGGGAGCACAGTCAAAATGAAAGAAAGTAACAGGTGGGAGAGTGGGAAAAGCCTGCAGAACCAGCACCACTCGGTATAGGGCTCTGCAGAGTAGCAATGCTAGGCAATGAACTACCCAGAGGAACTTGGGGACTGCAGATCTGTATATCAAAATGGAATGTTCTTTGGGGTTTCACTGTCACCAAACCAATGTGGAACTGGGCTCTGGATATGAGTTTAAATAGACGAAAACCTGCGTCTCTGTCAAGGTATCTATATTAACACATGATCTTAGCCAAAAGGCCAAGAAACCATGCAAGGTGTCTATATCAACAAAAGAATCTGTGAACGCTACAAAGAGTACAGTGAAGGGCTTTGAAGTATATGGGGAGATTCAATATGGTCTCTCCATTTCAGAATAATATTTGGTAGTTAAAAGTAATTTATGTTACAAAGTATTACATAATATTATCAATACCCAAGGAAAATAATGATTATTTTATTAAGATCTAACAAATAGATCAGTAACTTAAGGAGAACAAACTTTATATATATAACTTTTAGTTATAACATTTTCAAAATTATTTTAAAAAATTAAATTATTTAAGTAAACTTATACAACAGTTAAGACAATAGTTTTCAGTAAAATGACCTGATTTTTCTGTTTGTGTTTTTGAGACAAAGTGTCTTTATGAAGTCCAGGCCAACCTTGAACTCACGACATAATCCAACCTGGCCTGGAACTCACAATCCTACTGCCTCAGCCTCCCAAGTGCTGGGATTATAGACATCCACCGCCACGCCCTGGCAAGTCACTGATTTTTTAAAAGAAAATTTCTATACATCCTAAATTCAGTTGTAGAGATTGAAATATTATAAGCCTCTGAATTTAATATAAACTTGGGAATTTCTATTTTAACAGATCAAACAGAAATTTAGGAACCAACAGTGTATTTGTATTAACTTCAAAACTTAGAATTTAGAAAAGGCTAAGAGAAATTGCTTATAGTGGCAAGAGAAGGTGAGGTGACATCAAATGGTTATTTGATTATTAATTTTCAATAAGTAACATGATTTTTATTACAATAATATACCTTCATTAAGACGGAAAACATATATTTATCTGCATGTGCTTATGTACATTTTCCGCTTACTGTGTAATTTTTTCTGTTGCCAAATTCAGGGCATCCAGATGCATTTGCGCCAGTCGTAATCCAGGAAATGTCAAAAAAGCCCCAATGAGTGAACAGAAAATAGCCAGGAAAAATTTGAAAGTAAGTTTTGAAACCGGACCCCTAAAGATAAAGATATTAAAAAGAGTTAATAAATTTCTAGTTAACATTCTAAGAACTTCAATTTTTTTCTGGTCAGTGACCTTACAAATCACAGTAGTAAAATAAAGTAAATGCCTACAAAGACTTTTTATTGAAGTACCAATAAATAGGTCTTGGCAAAGGGTGAACTGTACCCGGCAGCTCTCTTGTAAGAGCCATTAATGACCCGACCTATATGTTCAACACGTAAGTGATGTTTGATTCACATAGTTTAATTTCTTGCAGCAAAGAAATTAAATAAGGGCAAATGTACCTCAGAATTTTATGAAAGACTGAGAGATTAAGTATCTCATAAAATTGTAAGTGAGGGTGTTATAGAAGTAATATCTAACTTGAAGAGAATTACTTTTGTTCATTAAACAACTAATCATTTATACAAAATACTGTTTTATGAAAATGGAAAATTATAACTTTAAATAACACTTAATTTTTCAAAAACTTACTGGGATTCTAAACCTTGCTTTTCAAGAAACTGCATTGCACTGTCTGAAAAATTGGTAAACCCTGTAGGAAACAAAAGAGATTACTCTTATCATTGGGGCAAAGTAGAGAATCTTCCCTTGGAAATAAAATGCTAGGAAACAGAGCATTTTAAATTTTGATGGGACTAGCTTAGCTCTCTCACATGTTAATTAGTCTGACATAATGCAGTAAGATCTGCTTCTCAGCAGGAACAGTCTTTGAAAATACGTTTGCTATCTGTACATTCCATGAGTGTGCATAACATTTGTATTAAATAAAATTTTCACTATGTGAGTAAACTTTCTCATTACAGAAACTTATTTAACTGCAAGGGAAAAAATGGGACAGTATTTTTTTAAAATGTTAATAAAGAAAATAAAAAAATGAAGAAAGCTCTCATTTAAGAATAAACATTATTAGGGGCTGGGGATATAGCTCAGTGGCACAAGCACTTGCCTGGCAAGTGCAAGGTCCTGAGTTTGATTCCCAGTACCAAAAAAAAACCAAAAAAAAAAAAAAAAAAAAAAGAATAAACATTATTTATAAAACATGCAACCCAAACTTAACTTTAAACATTTATAAGACATAAAATTTAGCCAGGTATGGTGGCTCACACCTGTAATACTAGCACTTGGGAGGCTGGGGTAGGAGGATCGCTCTGAGTTCAAGGCCAGCCTCGACTACAAAGTGAGTTGAAGGCCAGCCTGAACTGCATAGCGAAGCCCCATCTCAGAAAGATGGAAAAAAAAAAAACAAGACATAAAATGTCCTTAAATACTAAAGTAAAGCAGGTCAGAGAGAGCAAAACTGATCTTTGAAGTTGTACAAAACCATTACCTGTTTCAAGTCCAAACTCCAGATAATTCTCTGTTACAATCAAAACGGCCATTGCTTTGACGAAGAAAAAAAATCCGAAAGTGACACAAACCGATCTTTCACCGCCATCTTCTACTTTAAAATAGTGTGTAGTTAATGAAAATAGAACTTTGCTGCAGAAGGAAAAGTTCAGGAAAAACCACAAATAACTTTGTGGGAGCCATACACAACCGTCATTAGAGGATGTGAACTCCAAAGAACTTGACTACTATATTTATTTTGATACTACCTTCTTATCTATAAGATGGCTTTTGGAAAGAAGTGAAAAACTAGTGAAAATCTGAAGTTTTCCAAGAAACAGCACATAAAATCTAAGTCTAAGTGAAGTTATCAGCATTTTTAAACTAAGAAAACTATACCACAATTAAATTGTAATTAGGGAATGTATTTTCCATTTACTGGGTTCAAATTTTACTACGAGACTATAACAGGAATTTCATATACTGGGCTGTCAGTGACACGAAAAGCTAAGCTATGGCTATTTTAGGGAACGGTCTGTATTGGGCACATTGGTCAAACAGCTTACATTTATAATTAAACATACAACACAAATCACACAGGAACTATGTGTAACCATAAAATGACTTAAAATTTGAGAATTACTCATAGCCACTGATGATCTGTTCTATAAAAACTAAGTATCTGGGATGATCACTTTACATTAGGTTTACACAGAAACAATCTCTAGAGAAAACAGGTTACAACTGAGTATTCAAAAACAGTCAATGTGTCAACTTGCACATCTATAAAAACACACCAGACAGACCATCATCTTGAATCACAACCCCAACACATACTTATTCATTTAGTCAGGATCAAATCAGAGCCATGATGCAGAGCTACAAATCAGATCTTGATTACAGCAAATTGTTCTCTTTGAAAGCACAAACAAACAATAGCACCTGGCAAGCAATCTAGAAAAGCCAACTTTTACACGGATGTTACATCAGGCATCAGACACAATAACGAGTGTCATTTTGTATTTGCCATGTGCCAGGTATTACTGATTAACTCATTAATCTTCACCTTAGCCACACTATTCACTCTCCTTTCCAGACCCACAACAAGACAAAAACACACAGACTATTTAAAATAAAAACCCCTGGTAGAAAGGTTAAGTAAAAACCCCAGTGTTATACTGCAAGATTAGAAGCTGCCGGGCCTTAAATCTAGGTAATCTGAATCTAGAATGTGCATACTTAAGAATTCATTACATTGCCTCTTTAAACTGTATACAGTACCCACCACTGTTACAGGTGGCAGTTTAGCAGAGTAACATGAAAGCTTTTCTAAACAGAACTGCCCTGACAGAAGTAAACAGTTCAAATTCTCAGGATCACAAGTAGTGAGCATTACAGCAAAGGCAAGCTAAATTACTTTTACACAAGGGATATATCTTCAAGTCTTAAATCTGCAAAACTAACAATAATCTCTTCATAATAAGAGCTTAAAGGCTAATATTTACACTCAAGTTCTTATCTTGTGATACAGTATTTTGAGATGTTTACATGTGCTATTCCTTCCAAATTCTAAAATCACTAACACTACTGTATAAATCTTCCCTAATCATAATTGTCAATCTTCATGATGGATTTGGCTTCCTATTTTGGTTAGCAGCTACTAAATCATTTATAAGCATTAGGAGTACACTACTGGCATACAATGTTGCTTTCAAGCTTAACTAACATTGTGAAATTTATACGATGTATTAAAAAGATCACACAACATGACCGAGTGGTTTCATCCCAGGGATACATGGGTGGTTCAACATACACAAGTCAATAAAAATAAAATACTCCATAAATAGAAGGGCAAATAATCACATGATCATCTTACTAGATGCACAAAAGCCTTTAATAAAATTCAGCATACCTTCACGATAAAAACCTCGAAGAAACTCGGTATAAGTAAGATCTCACCTCAATATAATTAAGGCTACACATGACAAATCCATAGCTAATATCATACTAAATGAGGGAAACTGAAAGCATTGCCTCTATCAGAAATTAAGACGAGCGTGTCTACTCTCAACACTTGTGCCCAATACTGTACTTGAAGTTTTAGTCAGAGGAATTAGGCAAGAGAAAGAAGTAAAAGGGATATAAAGAGGAAAGAAAAGAGGGGAGAAATCATCCATATTTGGAAATTATATGATCCTTACAAGACCCTAAAAGCTCCACCAGAACACTGTTAAGTCTGGTAAACAAATGCAGCAATGTGGAAGGACACAGCATCAAAATAGAAAAATGAATGGTTTTTTATAAAGACAATAATTAGCTTGCTAAGAAAGAAATCAGGAAAACAGTTCCATTCATGATAGCTTCCAAATACTACTTAGGAGTCAACCTAAACAAACAGGTCCAAGGTCTAAATGAAAACTACACAACGCTGAAGAAACTGAAGACACTAGAAGATGGAAAGACCTCCCATGAGCCCTGGATTGGCAGAATTATACTGCTAAAGTGGGTATTACCAAAGTAGTCTACAGATTCAATGGAATCCCCACCAAAATCCTGATGACATTCTACACAGGACTAGAATAGACAATCTTAACATTCAGATAGGAGAATAAAAGACCCAGAATTGCAAAAGCAATCCTGAACAAAAAAAGCAGGGATTTCAAAATATACTATAAAGCGATGATAACAAAAAACGCATGGTACTGACACAAAATTAAACAAGTAGACCAGAGGAATAGAATAGAGGAAATAGAAATCAATCCACGCAACTATAGCCATCTGATTTTTGACAAATAAACCAAAAACATCCAATGGAAACAGCCTCTTTAACAAACGGGGCAGAGGCAATTTTATACCATTGGTGGGAAGGCAAATTAGTACAGCTATTATGAAAATCAGACACAGGACTTGAAAGTAGAAGAGAAACGATTACAGAATTGGAAGAGATGGAGGAAGGGGAATGGAGAATGATCAAAATACGTTCCCATGCAGGTACGAAGATGCCAAACTGAAACCCACTCTTCTGTGTAACTAAAATGAGCTAATAAAAATTTATGGTATCCATTTCAACTTTTTGGTAGTCATTTCAGGCTTTTACACTTATGTTCTCACCTCCAAGACACACACAGTACCGCTAGTGCATAACTGAAGTAAAAAGACTTCAAGAGAAAAAATGAAATTACTGAGACTAGGATCCTGAAAGGATTTCAAGAGTCTCCAGACAGGTGAAAGAGAGGTAGGATCTGCCCCACTATCAATGCAAAACTATCCCACTAACCTGGGTAAAAATATTACTGCTTGTACAGCGCAGTGGTAGACTAGCTGCCTAGCATGCATGAAGCTCTGTATTGGTCAAACACACACAGTTCACAATGAAAAAATGCTCTGACAGAAACTAATTGTGTGTGCTAGGAAGAAACAAAGATTGGAAAGCATTTGTCTTAAACCACCCTGAATGATCCAAGTTCTTGGAAAAGCTTTACAGTTAAGCAAAGTAATAAAGATGCTGTAGTTTGAATTTATCTATGACTTATTTAAGTAGTAAATAATGAAAGCCTGTAAAATTAAGACTTCCCTGCTTAAGCTTTCTAACTTCTCAGAGGAGAAAACAAAGCATTATACCTATAGGAGTGTAATGTACAACTAGTTTCTAAATTCTACAACTTTTAAAACACACGCTCACTATATTTGTGATCACTAAGTGACAAAAGTAATATAAAACACTTTTTTTTTTTTTTTTTTGGTTTTCGTTTTTTTCCGGTACCAGGAATTGAACTCATGACCTTGTGCTTGCCAGGCAGGTGCTGTGCCGCTGAGCTAAATCCCCAACCTCTGACATAAGTAATATAGTTGAAGGTCAAATTATGAGTCAACAGATGAAAGGAAACAATAAGAAACAAAAAATATGATTTTAAATAAATAGGATTACTAAATTGTCTTTTAAAAAAGAGAATCTAAGTACCAAGTTAAATTACAAACAATTTTGTAAGTCTTAAGAAAAACTTCATCTGACATTTAAGAGAGACTCTATGAAGCACAAAACACTGGCTGAGAGAAGATTCCAGAATAGAGATGAGCACACTCTCCCTTCCCCATCAGTCTGAATGCCATGTTCTCTACTTATCTTTCCCAAAAACAACGAAGCCCACTAGCATCAGACACCTCTTTCTTGACACTACAAGGAAGGGCTTACATATGGCAGTAGGCAAGAAAGCAAAAATAATGTTAAACTATAGAGTAAAAACAACTTTAAAAGTACAAACAAACTGCTTTTGAGACACAGGCACGATCTTCTGTACTGACGAGGATCCCAGGCCCATGTTTGAAAAACTGTTTCATTTCTATTGAAAATGGAAAGTAGAATCACCAGAGACAATTTCCAAATTCTTCACTTACACTGAAAAGCAAAATAACATTTTTGGCCAAAATGCTATCATACTTTGCGATGAGATGTTCAAAGATTACAGCTACTGCCAAACCTCAGAATGATTAAATAAACTGCAAAATCTGCCAATACTAAAGAAAAAGATAATCAGATGTAATCTGACCCAGGCATGAAATATGGTATTGCCCTTATCACGAATCCTTTAATACCACACCACAAATGTCTAAAATGTTACAATCCCGCTATCTTCAATTCATACTGCATATCAGATAAAGCCTATGTTAGAAGAAAGTCTCCCCATAATTCAGTGTGAACTGTGCACACAATACTCTGAAGTGTATACTACGTATGCTCTGGTCACACCCGCATGTTCAAGGTTTCATTCAACGGTACTCAAATGTTCACTTAAGTGAGAATAGTGTATTTAGTCTCCCCTGAATATAACAGCTACACTGTCTCAGATGTAATCCATCATCTCAACTGTCTGCTCCCCTCCCCTTGAACTAATCAAAGACTTAAGGAAAGCTGCACATCCCTCAAAATATTACTATTAACTCAGTAGCTGAAGCCTTTGTCTTCATTGTTGGAATTTACTACAGTATCCTTGTCCTATAATCCCAAACTATCTTTAATTGGAGTATGAGACAAAGTAAAGAATTTGCCTGCCTCATCCTGGTTCTACTCTTACTCTGTGATCTTCCACATGAAAATTTATTAACCCCTGTGTGTTTCCATGGCTTCGTTTGTATAATGAAGCCACCATAACTAA